AGCACAAAGGAACAGAACATGAAATCCAAAACTAAAAGAAATGTGTGGAATATTATATATAATTCTATACATATATATCTACACAATATATTTTACTTGTAATACAGTACAATTCACTTGTAAAATTACGTATGTGTAATTATTTACATTTAAATTATATATACTTATAAAATTATATATTTACATATACGTATTATATACAAAGAACTGAAATAGATAAAGAAAAATGCCAGTCATAGAAGACACAAGTGACTATGAAAACAGTAAGTGATAAAGCAGACCAGAAGTAGATGCAGTTTTAACTAGAACAGCCAAAGCAGCTGGTTGAAGGCTCTTGTAAGATTAGATAAAGAAAAAAACTAATGCCAGTAAATGTGGAACAGGCAACATAAAAGTAAGAGCTGTGGCTTTGGATTCTACCAGAATATGACTTCTGTATTTTGTGCAGTACTAGATTTACTCACAGCAGTTGCTCATGCACTGCCATGACATGACACTTCCACACAGTTTGGCTCAATAAATGCTGTGCTAGAAACTTTTCTGTTACTTTGAGACTGAGTGTGTGTGCTCTCTTACATTCAATATATTTGTTTTTGTAATAATTCCTTCCTATTGAAGAAAAGAATAAACAGCTTAACCTTCTGTTGACTCACTGAGCTAAATGGATCACCAGGTCTTCCTTGAAGCCTTCGGTTCTCCCTTTCCCTGTGTCTGAGCTGAATGATGGCCCAGTACAGCCAGGAGGAGACCTTGGTCATCTGCAAAAGGCTGATTTAACATGTCTGCTGTATGCACATTCTTTAGCTCCTGCTCCACCAAGTTCTACAGCTGCTTGCTAAAATAGATTTTGTAGGTAACAAGCTTATCTCAAAAAGAGGTGTGGTTTTATATGTACATACACAAACACATCTGTACACACACATACATGCATATGTTATATGTGTATATATCTGTAAAACATCTTTTATATAAATAATACATTCTTCTTATACTTTACAACAAGACCATGTGCAGCGTGCTGCACTTGGGTCAGGGCAATCCCAGGTATTTATACAAACTAGGAGAGCAGCCCTGCAGAGAAGGACTTGAGGGTCCTGGTGGATGAGAAGCTGGATATGAACCAGCAGTGTGCGCTTGCAGCCTGGAAGGCCAACTGCGTTCTGGATGGCATTAGAAAAAGGAGTGGCCAGAAGGGAGAGTGAGGTGGTTGTCCCCCTCTACTCAGCTCTTGTGAGGCCTTATCTGGAGTTCTGCAACCAGGCCTGGGGTCCCGAGTACAGGACAGACATGGAGTGGGTCCAGAGGAGGGCCACTAAGATGATCAGAGGGCTGGAGCACCTCTCCTATGAAGAGAGGTTGAAAAAACTGGGCTTGTTTAGCTTGGAGAAGGCTCTGTGGAGACCTTACTGTGACCGTTCAATACTTGAAGGGTGTGTATAAACAGGAGGGGGAATGGTTGTTTATGAGAGTGGATAGTGACAGCACAAGGAGGAATGGCTTTAAACTGAGACGGGGAGGTTTAGGTTAGATATTAGGAGGAAGTTCTTCACCCAGAGGGTGGTGATGCACTGAACAGGTTGCCTAAGGAGGCTGTGGATGCCCCATCCCTGGAGGCATTCAATACCAGGCTGGATGTGGCTCTGAGCAGCCTGGTCTGTTGGTTAGCAACTCTGCACAAAGCAGGGGGTCAAAACTCCATGATCACTGTGGTCCTTTTCCACCAAGGCCATTCTATGATTCTATGATTCTGTTAAACAAACCCATATGCTTTCCAATACACAGTTAAATAAACTGCTTTGTTCTTTATACAGTTATGCCTCAGCAGTTTACAAATAGCAAGTTAGCAGATGCCAGAACTGACTGAGGTGTGACACTGATTAGTCAGTATTAAGATGCTAGATCCTTGCTCCTAGTAATACCACTGACTGTTATTCTAGGAAAAATGCCCTCTTCCAACAGGCACACAAACTGGGAGAGCAGCAGGTATTTCTACACGTTTCTGTCAACCCCAAATCCAAACCCCGTGTCTGAGAGCAGTGTCCAAACGGCCCTTGGTCTCCCATACAGGGGTCGTGCCCACCGCCCTCCTGTGCAGTCCCTTCCCCTCATCTCCTCCCTTCTCCCTGCTCCTGTCCTGACGCAGCTCCGTGCCGCCCGCTCGGGCCCCATCGCTGCCCACCACCGTCCCGGAAAGAAGGGCACAAACCACAACAGCCGCAGCCCACGGGTGCCCGCAGCCCGCCGCCGCGCGGCTCTTACCCTCCTGCAAGAGGCGGCTGGGCCGCACGGGCGGGACGCAGAAATGCCGCGCTCTCCAGCCGGGCCGCGGCGGCCGCGCCACCTCCCGGTCCGACAGCCAGGTGACGGCCTCGTAGTTGTCGCCACGGAGCAGCGCGGCCGCCTCGGCGCTGTGCACCGCCACCTCCTCGAAGTGCTGCAACCCGCCCGAGTGGTCGAAGTGGACGTGGGTGGCCACGGCCAGCAGAGGCCGGGGGCCGGCCCCGTCCGGCGGCGCCAGCAGTCCCGCGGCACGCAGGTAGTCGGGCAGGCTGCGCAGCCCCAGCCCCGCGTCGATCACCAGGTCGCACTGCGAGCCCCGCACCAGCCAGATGTTGGCCCGGTTGCCCGACTCGTAGAAGCGCTCCTGGATCCAGAAGATGCCGCCGCCCAAGGGCTTGTGCGCGAACCATTCCAGCGCAGACATCGCGTCCGGCGCCGAGCCCGTCCGCGCGGCGGGACCGGGCGGGGCCTGGGGCGCCGGGGGGAGGGCAGAGCCAGGCCCGGCCCACTGCGGCAGCCGCGGGCGGAGCGAAGCTGCGGGTGAGTAGCGGGAGCGGAGGGGCTGCAGCTGGCGATGGGAAGGAAAGGGGCTGTGGGACGGCACGGGGGCAATGAGGGCAATGGGGGCAATGGGGAAGGAAGAGGCTCTGACAGGGCGTTGTCATCTTGGCAGTGTTGTCATCGCGGTCGGTATTTCACTTCCCTGACGCGTTCAGGGGATGCAGGTGGCATGAGCAATCCCCGCATTTAAGTGTCCATGCGTTATTTGCTCTGCCATTATTTTCAGCTCCCGCTGGTTGCTACCGTCTCAGAGAAATGAATACAGCAGAAGTTGTGCTCAGAGTTGTGTGTTAATGGGAACTGATTCAGGTGTTTGGCTGCCACACAGGCCTGCGGCTTTGGCCTCTTCTGGCCTCAGAGGGTTTGCCTAGCTGCATGAGGGGCAGCTCCTGCAGCACATACAACTTCACAAGTTTCAGCTGTGCTTTTGCTTACCTCCGAAACTCATCCTTTTTTGTAGAGTAAAAGCAACAGAATCTATCTGTAAATAAGGAACTTCATGCAGCCAAACATCCTTCATAGTCTTAATTTCTCATGGCAACTTTGTCATTCATAGTTTGTTTTTAGACTCACAGAATCGTAAAATATCTCAAGTTGGAAGGAAACAAAGGGATGGTAGAAACATCAAGGCTGGAAGGGACTACCAAGACCATCTAGTCCAACCCCAACCCGCTACCACCATGCTCAATAACCATGTTCTTCAGTGCTGCATCCACATGCTGCTTGAATGGTGACTCCAGCACCTCCCGAGGCAGCCTGTTCCAATACCTCACCGCTCTTTCTGAGAATATTTTTTTTTCCTAATATCCACCCTCAACCTCCCCTTAAACTTAAATTGGCAGCTTAAAGCCATTCCATCTCGTCCTGTTGCAGTTACCTGGCAGAAGAGGCTGACCCCCATCCCACCACCTATCTGGTCATTGTAGAGAGCAGTAAGGTCTCCCTTGAGCCTCCTCCAGGCTTCTCCAGTCCCTTCTAACACTCCCCATAAAGCTTGTGCTTCAGACCCTTCACCAGCTTCATTGTCCTAACTGATGATCCTTTGCTGGATCATCAAGTCCAGCTCCTAGTTCCACACAGGACCACCCAAAATTCCAACTAGATTTCTGTGAGCAAACTATGAAGTTAATTGTCGAAGTCACTGTTTCCTTTATGATTTCTCCTCTCATCTCTTGCTTTATTTTTATTTTACTTTAACTCTAAATTTTACTCTTTACTTTATGATGTCAGTAGACTTCCCTTAGGCTTCTATGCTCAAAAGAAGATGAGAGTTAGTAAAACTGCCACATTGAAAGAGGATTCATTTTAAAGCTTGTTGCTTCTCATCAGATTAATTAATTATTTCAAGAAAATATTATAATTAATTTTAAAGCCAAATTTAAATATATATAGGTATCTAATGCAAAGAATGTACCAATTCCCGCACACCTGGAAATTTCCACCAAACTCTTTTCTGTTTTCTTCCTTTTTTTTTTCTGTCCTCTTTTTTCACACCTTGATATCTGCTTATGTTTGGGAATTATCTGTTATCTTTCTTCATTCTGCTAGGCTCACATTTTCTTTCTCATCTTGTTTTCAAAAGAATTTCACGTATTTTTTCTGTCTTCAGTTAATTAAATACTCAGATTTTTCTTTCTTTCTTAAAATGATTTATGTAGGACATTCTGATTTTTTTTAGATAATTTTCTGTGAAGCAGACTGACATAGAAACGTGTATCATGATTTAGCTTCCTCCAAAGAGAGCATATTCCTATGGAAAATAATACGTAAGAAAAGACTTGGTTTTTACTGACATTTTATAAAAAGGCCATCCCTTCAATTTTGGGAATTCTGGAAGGATCTTAAGTAGACCTTTCTTTGCTTCTGATAGTAATTCTCCTTGTTGTCTTAGACAACTGTATGAAAAGCTATAAGTATTGTGCTAGTTCTTATTTCCTATTTGGACCTTTATCTTGTGTGGATTGCCTTAAGAATAGCTGGAATGTTACTGGTAGAGCAGAAAGTCTGGAACAGTCTTGCAGTTTGATAACCTGGTAATTACTGGTATGCACAAAGGATTTCTGGGCTGGGATTCCTCAGTCATACTTCATGTGGTCTTGAGTTGTGAGTCACTTTGCTCAAACTGGGCCTGTCTTGGACCTCATCTCTTGACATCATTCTCCTGCCAGCTCATGGATCATACAGTGCTGAGATGGAGATTAGGTGAGATGTAGCTATAAATGCAGGCTCTTTATTTTTTTTTAATATCCATACAGAAATTTATGGCTATTGTGCAGTAAATTACTGTAATTGCAGATTATTTTTTTTTCTTTTATAAGACCTACAATTCTGTGATTCTATCATTCTGTGATTCTGTGATATGCTTGGTTAATAGCACAAGAGGAAATGGCTTCACATTTCTTCAGAGGAGTTTTAGATTGGATAATAGGGAAATTTTCTTTACTGAAAGGGTTATGAAGCATTGGAATTGGCTCTCCAGCAAAGTAGTTGAGCTCCCATCCCTGGAGATAATAAAAGACGTGTAGATGTGGTGCCTAGAGACATGGCTGGATGGTAGACTTGGTAATATGAAGCTTGATGATCTTAACATGGGTGCCCAAACTTTTGGCTTGTCTGGGATGCTTTCAGTGAAGAGCAGTCTTCACTCGGAGATTTTATATGTGATCATGGGCTGCATATAAAATATATAATGTAGTTCATGTGTATAAGTAACAAAAGTTTTTTTTTTTTTAATATATATATATTTATTAAAACATTAAAAGAGAAACAAAATCAAAAAACTAGTGGGATATTTGACCATGTTTTTGTGGAAATGGTGCATCAGTGGTTTGATGGCTCTTAGTGAAGTGATGGTTCACAGTTCTGAGTGAATCTAAAAGTGTTCATCAGAGATTCTGGATGAAGTTTTCTCTTTCGGTGTTTCATCCTTGAAAAAAGTTGTTCACAAATGTATGTACTGTCAAAAAGTGTTGACAAGTGTGGTCATGAAGTGAAGGGTATTTCTCTCTGCTAAGATAGGGCTTATACAAGTCTGATAAAGAGACATGTCTGATTGCAACTCCATACATTCCATTTGAAAATACAGGTAATGTATGTACGGGTCACAAATATACAAAAACCCTGGTGATTCTTTCAGCAATCTTGAAACCTGTTCCGAAATTCCATTATCAAAACGGAAGCCACAGCTACATATTTTTCACTGTTTGCAGGACTGCATTTATCCAGTGTATCAAAACGCATACAATTGTTTGCCACAGCACTTGAGCCAGCACTGTGCTGCACTTGCCCCTGACCCAGTTTCAGCCCAGACAGTGCTGACTGCACAGCACTGTGTGGTTGCTGTAAGCAATGGATGTGCTCCCAAGGCTGGTTTGGCTGCTCCATGGGTCAGAGCCACTGGGTACAGAATCACAGAATAGCAGAGATTGGAAGGGGCCTTGAAAGATCATCTAATCCAGTATCTCTGCTGGTGGCGTAGATCAGGTCTCCAGCACGAAAGTTGATAGCTATTATTGGTCTTGTGCAAAGACAGCACTCTGGATTCCACTTCACCCAGCACGTCAGGCACCTAAAGCAGAATTCATGGAGGCATGGCAGAGGCCTGGTCATCATGAGTGATGAGGCAACTGGGGCAACTCTGATGCTGCAGCCTTGACCAGTCTACAGTGCAGTGTACTGGTAAAAGTACAGGGCAAGTTGTTCCACCATGCCAGATCTGCACCTGAAAGATGTGACACTCTGAGAGAGAGGGAGCAGACATAGTTATTTGCTGGCCCAAGCAAGGGTGAAAGAAACACCACATTACTTCAGCAGGGAGCCTTCCTAGCCCCACCACTTAGCCATCTCCTGCTTCCTGATGGTACAGGGTCAGACTGTGACTATGGCCCTGGCATGTCCTTGAGCTCTAAGTGCCCTCCCTGCACCACCTGCCCAGGTTGCAAGGGATAGAACCTGAGGAAAAGGCCTCAAGTTACACTGGAGAGGTTTAGACTGGATATCAGGAAGAATTTCTTCATGAAGTGGTTGGTAAAGCATTGGAAAGTGCTTCCCAGGAAAGTGGTAGAGTCACCACCATCCCTGGAGGTGTTCAGAAGGCATAAGGAAATGCTGCTTAGGGACATGGTTTCTTGTTAACCTTGGTAGTATTAGTTGCTTGGAGATGATCATACTGAAGATCTGTTCCAACCGAAATGATTCTGTGATTCTACCTTGATTGAACTCAAGTCACTACATACACTAAGCTTTATACAAAGAAAGTATTAATGCATATGTTATTAGTTAATTTCTGTCTTGCAAAAATACCTAGTAGAAATGAGGGGAATAATTTTATTTAAAGCATTAATTAAATTTATAGCACCTAAGATGGGCATTAAAAACATTTGTAATTTGTATGGCCTTTGAGAGTGCTTTTAAAATTACTTCAATGCTTGCTAAACGTTGGGTTTTATTCATAATTTTATATGCAATGTATTTCATATACGTAAAAAATTAAACCTGTTAAAATTTTTAATATTTTCAGTAACTTCAAATGGCTGGGTCAGGTAGAGGAAGAGGACGTGCTTCATTTACATTCAACATTGAAGCCATTGGCTTCTCTAAAGGTGCAGTTCTACCTGATGTTGTGTGTAAGCCTCCACCGCTATTTCCTGTAAGTACTGAAGCTTTCTTTGGTGCTCTTGGTGTTCAGGTAAAGTGCATTCTCTTTCATTTATGTATTGGAATGAAGTGTAAGAACAACTTTAAGAACTTTAGGTCAGTTTTTAAATACTTAAAGTGAATGATCAGTTGTTGCTGGTTTTATCATTATTGTTATCTCTTCCTGCCCATTTGCTAGCAATTGTATCCCTCAGTAACCTAGATAGCTTGTGACATGCTCGTTCATTAGTGACCTCACTGTAATTTCATTTTCTGGATGCTGCAGTAATAGAAACACTGGATTTTTGAACTTGCCTGAAATGAAGTTATACTAGTGTTTCAAGTTATGACTGTATCTGATTTAGAAATTTTCTGTTGATTCAAACACAGAAGGATTTTGGATGATTATCTTGTGCTTCAGTAGCCAGAATGTGAAAAATAATTTGAAAACAACAGAACGATGTTTTAGGTAATTAAGGGTATTGAGATTGGACATTCTGAGTGTGTTTGGAACGTATCAGAAAATTAAAGGGCAAGAAAAAGTTATTTTCTTACTAAGCTGAGTTTTGCTACGTAGTCAAACTTGGACATTTTTTAGGCTGAAAAGTTTTTCAGTTTTCAGTTTTATATGAGAACTTCCCCTTTGTATGAGGATTGTATGAAATTTTTCTCAACACATTATGATATGAAACTAGCAAGTTTGGCATGAAATTGGCGCTATTCTGATATTTACCTGAATAGTTATTTCACACATGGTTTTGATTTACTGAAGCAGATGTTATGTTAATGTCTTAGTCCACCATTTCCCTTATAATTTAAATGGCATGACTTCATTGATTTTAAGTCATCTAAATTGTTCCTAGTGTCATTATTATCTGCTTGATAGCACTAGGATACTGAATTATGTGTGAGTACAGATTCTGCAGTTACAATCAGTGATGGAGTTGCTTTAGAATTATTAATCCCATATCTGGTGTATAACCCCTTTCTAACATATACACTGGGGAAGCTGAAGATGCTTTTTTTCCATTGAAAAATTGAAGTAACTCAGTATAACTAGAACTAGCAAAAATAGCATGAATTACATTTAAAAATTGGGCAGTGACCAAAAGTGTGATCTTACAGCTGTTCACTGACTTACACTGAAATTATTTTAAGCAGTGAATTGTTGATCGTGTTTACATATTTCTTTTGATTTTTTTTTTTTTTAATTGATTTCCTGTAAATGCAATTAGAAAACCAGTTCAGGTACATACCAGTTAAGGTACGTCAGCTTACCATCAGCATCATGAGAGATTTAAAAAGCAAAAAAAAGCTGAAATTAGTAAGCTCCAGCTGTGGAATCTGCGATAATGTTTTGTGGTTTTCAACCAACCACTCAGATATTAATTGTGCACCACCTGTCAGATGAGAGAAATATTATGTAGTTACAACATAACTGATTCCATCACTACCTTAGTTTGGCATATATTTTAGAAATTTTTTATTACATGTCTTTTCAGTTTCAGGATTTATAGTTCAAACAAACAAAAACGGCCAGAAGAATTTAACAGTTCACTTACCTGAAGAAAAATTGTGATGTGGCAGGCCTGTGTGCTATCTGATTGTGATATGGTATTAATCAAACTGTGTTATTTGGGGTAATCATACATAATGTACGAAGGGTTGTCTGAAAGTAATGCCTTCTGTTTTATGATGTTGGCCCACACCGTCAGAGGCAGATGTTGGTTGGTATGATAGTAGGGGTTGAACCTTCCCACCCATATTCTGTTGCATTATATTGCTGTGCAACAGATGGCAGCAGAGGGGCAGCCTGACAGAATGGCGTCTGACATGGAAGAGCAGATAAAGAAAAGGGTTATCACCGAATTCCTCCATGAGCAATAAGTGACACCCACTGACACTCATCGACGCTTGCTGAACACCTATGGAGACCCAACAGTGGATGCGAGCACAGTGAGGTGTTGGGTGGTGCATTCCAGCAGTCGCTACAGTGACAGTGGGTCGCCTCTGCTGGTGCAGGTTTTTACGAGCACAGCTTGCAGGCTCTTATTCATCGTGGTGAAAATTCATAGTTAATGGAGCTGACTGTTGAAAGATAGTTTTGTTGCTGAGATTTGCTCCATCTTTGTATCTGTTGTAGTTTCCCTGGGAATAAGTAGGAGGCATTTCTTCCAGAGCATCTATTCAGTTAAAATTCTGTTTTAGAAGCATTTAGGGCTGTTTGACTAAAGCAGTGGTTTCTGGTTAAGTTAGGTTGGAATGAAAAATTGATGTTGTTCTTTAAGAATCCTTTAAGCTTAACATGATTATGAATCACGGTTTCACAAATCTACTATTTTCTCCCTGATTGCCTGATGAATTTTTGTAGAAAGATACAAAAAGTTATGAAGTGTAAATTTAAACAGTTATGTATTTTAAAATGCAGTAAAGTATACTTGCAATGTAATATGCAAAGTTGCATTCTTCCATGATTATGTGTGTTTATTGTAGTTTTTTTTTTAGTGTTCCTGCATATGTGATGGATATCAAAGACATTGCAAATAATAAAAATAATTTGTACAGAGTACAGAAAATAAGCCAGTGCCTCTGAAAACAGGAGACGATGAAGATTACATGTTGGCCTTAAAACAAGATTTTAGAGGAGCTATGAAAAAAATGCCATATTTTTTGGCAGTAGAAGAAGATCATGAAGGTTTGTTTGTGTGCTTTTTATTTTTATTTCTGTCTTCAGTATTTATTCAATGAGGGATAATGTAGTGAAAGGCATGTGTTGAAAATATATTTAGTATTCATAAGGGAGAATGAGAAAGAGCCAGAGTAATATGATAGGAGTGCTCTCATTTGCATTTACTGAAGTTGCAGGTCTCCCATACAAGTGCTGTACCTTGAAAGCAACTGCTGTGTTAAAAAAGCAAGGTATTCTGTTTGATACGAAGTAAGAAACATTAAGACCAACTATTTGTGGTTCTTTCAATTATATGATAATCAATACAAACTACATAGGTATTTCTACCTGTTAAAAATAATGTAAAAATTTTGCATTGGAGCAAAGAAATCCATAGTAAATATAAGATTTGAAATTCAGCTTCCATTTTAACTATGTAGAGGTGAACTTAAAACAATAAATATTTTAGTTAATAGCTGGACATTCTAAAACGTGCTCTTTTAGAACATGAGCTAAAAAGATTGGTAAGATGCAGAGAAGACTGAGAATTCACTTGAAACAGAAAAATCAAAGTGAAAGTAAAGTATTTATTGAGGTTTGCATCAGAAGTATCAGAAGCCAAATTTGAAGACAAAACTTGATCTTACTGCATTAGAAGAGAATGTCTTTTAATTAAATGTAATTAAACATTGACAGCCTTATTATTGTTTGATAAAAATAAATACTCTGCTACTTGATAACCATTCATGCATCATTACACTTTTAAAATCCAAGCGTCCTGGTCAGAAAACAGAGCAGGGATAGAAGGCCACAATCTGTTTACTTTGCAGTTGCAGTATTGTAAACCTAGCAGCCACTGGAGCTAATCACTGGGGGGAGTGCTTTTTTTCACTTGTGACTTTTGCTTCTCTCTGTTATCCTTCTAAGTGCTGATTCTCAGTGCTATGAACACCACGCGCTAATACAGGAAAAGAAAAAATATAGCATGTTAGGAAATTTGTGTCAAATTCAAGGCCCAGTCTGTGCTGTCTCTATCAAGCTTTACTGTTTAAGAATCTGGAATAGCCAAACATTAGATAATCTTTCCATTGCTATAATGTGGTGATTTCAAATAATGAGAACTCACATAAACTCTAAAACATGAGGTTTAATATCCATCCTGAAACCATCAAAGTATTTTCTAACTCCGAGTATTCATGGTAGAGATATGATACAGCTACATAATCTTATCCCCTCTTGAATGTGGGCAAATTCTAGAGGATCTTGAGACTGTGTGCAATTCTTTTTTTATTAGCTTTGAGTACCGTACTCTGATTAACACACCTTTTTGACTTATTGACTGTACTGACTTGTTCTTGCACTAAAGTACTACTTAAAAAGAAGAAACAGACTGCAGTATGATAATACAGCTTCCAGTGCTCCCTGACCACCTTAATTTTTTTTTAATTTGAACACGTATGTTTAGCCACGTGTCTATGGTGTTTCAGTACCCTTTCAGACATCTTCTGGTGACCCTGAATTCCTGCAGAGAGCATAAAATAGTTTCAGAGCTCAGAGTTCTCACAGCAGTCAGAGATGCTGACTATGCAGACAAGTAAACTCTTAGTTTTGGAACAAGAACAACAGGAGATCTGATCTTCATTTCTAAATCCTTTTATGATTGTAGAAGAAATAAAATTACTCTTTTTTAACTCAAATATCTTTCATCTCTCATGTAAACAAATTTCAATCTTTCCGGATTCTTATCTCACCAGAGGCTTTCTGTGCTCTTGATTTTGGTCAAGCTTGAAGTTTGCTATTTCCATCTGAGACACAAAAAAGGAAACTCCTGAGCCTGAAAGCATGTCTGAGTAGTTTCCAAGGAACCAGCCACCTTGAGAATGTTACCTCTGTTTTCCAACTTTGCCTCATGTGGTAGTTATCTCTTAACCATTGTTTTTGTGTCCTTTTTTCTGAGTGTTAGTGCTGACTGTGCTCTTTAATAGAACTGCTAGCTTTGACTGTTTTTGTACAAAAATTGGCAATTGCAGGTAATCAAGAAAAGAGCCACTTCAGTTCTTCTCAGTGTCTCCCTGAGGTAAAGTTGGTATCTTGCCATAACTCTCTATAAAACCTTTAGCTGCAGAAAAATACCTCTGTTTCAGTGGTTCAGTATGGTTACATCAGTGGTTGTCTGCAGCTTAAATAGCTTGCTCTCATCTAATCATTCTTAACTGATCATTTCAGTAATGTGGTTTACAACCCTTTTCTTCCTTGTGTTTCATCTAAACATCTGGTAGGATTACAGGAGAGGCAAAGTGGGGACTGTTGGCAGAAATTTCTTAGATTGGCTTTGCTTCAAGACCAAATGAATTTTTTTTAGACTGCCAGCACAACATCTGTGAGCCAAATGGTCATTTGAAGAGTGAGAAGGGAAACATTTTAATTAGGTAGGACCAGCTATCTGTCTTTCATTATTCATGTAGTGAAGGAAAGTCATGTCTAATAGTACCTGGCAATTTTGATGCATTAGTATACCATATGTAGATTTTCATCATTCATTTCAAACTTATTTTGAGCAAGTGGTAGGTGTATTCTCCATGGTCTCCATTTTCTTTACTTCCTAAGCTATGAATCATTCATATTTTTCCTGCAAGTTTATCTGCTGTGACTGGGTGATTGTCACCTTGGCAGTGGTTTGGAATTAATTCATCAACTGTGAGCAGCAAGTCAGGCAGGCACATTTTTTTTACTGATGGCATCAGCAATTAATTCTTACTAAAGATCACTGAGCTGAAGTCAAAACTACTAGTTTATTTCCCCTTGTTGCTGACAGTTTCAAACAGCATCTATGAAGGCCATCTATATTAGGTGCCCTTCCAGACACTGTCATTTTAGATACAAGCTTTTTCTTGCTCAGTCTTAAGTAGGTCTTCTGCTGCCCTCACCACTGCTAAGTTTAAAATTTGAATTTAATTTCTGATATCATCTTTTTCCACACTTTTCTCCAGTGAGTATGTTAGAAGTCTTCTACTGCATAGATCACAGTCTGTTTTTTACTTTTTGTACAATACCCACAAAAATAATCCCTGTTTGAGTAATGAGATATTACTACAACTAGAATATACAGCTTTGTGTGTGGATATTGCAATTGGGCATGGTGATTGATAAGAAAAAATAAAACTGGTTGAAATTAGTTTTCTCATTAAAGATTGTGCAAGTATGAATCCATATACCTACACTGTATAACTACTATGTTATTCATACTGCATTTCTTAATTTATTTCTTGTGCCCAAACTGAGGAAAAATGGACAAAAACATATTGTTAGAATTTCAGAAACATCTTCTTGCTGTAATGCGAAGTTTTGCCATTGCAAAAGTACTTGAAGCCCTGGGACTTGGTGATGATCAGTCATTCAGAGATGACTTCTGAGGCCTTTTAAGACCTTCTAATTCTGGATGCTTCTAGGCCTTCTGAGTCCTAGGAATTTTGGATGCTTGTTAGGATCAGAACGGTGACAATGTCACTAATTTTCTTTTTTTCAATCACAGAATGACAGAAGGGTTGAGGCTGGCATAGGTCCATCTGTCCCTACCGCTGCTCCAGCAGGAGCATCCAGGGAAGATTACCCAGGTCCATGTCCACGAGGCTTCTGGTCTTGTTTAGCCTGGAGAAGTGAGGGCTTCAGGGAGACTAGTGAAGGTGTGTAGCAGTGGCACAGATTGCCCAAAGAAGCTGTGGATGGCCCATCTTTGACAGTGTTCAGTGGCAGATTGGATGAGGCTCTGAGCAACCTGCGCTAGTGGGAAATGGATGTTGGAACTGGATGGTCTTTAAATTTACTTCAAGTTGAAACTGTGTTATGATTCTGCAGTTCCCTTGGGTTCTATTTCTGAGAGATTACTGCTCTGTTATGAGGAAGCTGTAGACCAGCTCCCCCTGGATGGCAGCTCAACTTCCTGGTCCATCTGCCACTTCCACCACATTTGTGTCATCAGCACACTGCTGAGGATGTGCTCTGCCATCATCCAGATCATTAACAAAGATGTTAGACAGGACTTGGACCCAGTGTTGGCCCCTGGACTTCCAGCTAGGCTTCATACCACAAATTACCACTCTGTGGTGCAGCTGTTCAGCCAATTATCAGTATGCCTCCCTGCCTGCCCTTCCAGCCCATACATCAACAACGGGATGGAGGGAATGACATTGATGGAAAGGACATACCTTCAAAATGGGGAGCAATATTCTTCCTGGTTTTTATTATTTATTTATTTATTGGTTTTGGTTTTGAGACCTAGGGTTATAAAATCCAGGTTTTTCAAGTACTTACCATATGATTAGTTCTAGGAATTACCATGAAAACTGTTATGAAACTGTTTTTAAGTGTTGTATAACAGTGCAAGAAACTGCTTCATGTGGGGTGAAGAGGATACGCTTGTATGTTTAATTACAGGAAAATACCACAAAAACACTGTGAATTGCCTTTCTAATGGATTAAAAAATCTTTGTGTCTTTCCCTACAGCAATTGAAAGGTACAGTAAAAAGTACATGGATGATGAAAAGGAGCATGCAGCGTGGACTCCAGGTAATCCTGAGAATACCAAAGGCTGTTTTGGTATGCCTGGGTAATCTGTTCTTCTGAAATGTTTGATTCCAAATTTTTAAAGTAATAAAATAGTACATGCATCCTTACCAAAGCATGTAGTCTTTGTTGAGAGTTAGGCCCTTTTGGTGTTCTCAGATCAAAGGGAAGTATTGTTTTGTCTAGAAAAGAACAAATAAATGTGATTTTATTTTTTTCTCATTCAAAACAGCTAATTCTCAGCAAAAAACGCAAGCTTGATCTCTACAGCTTTCCCTCTTTGTTATTTCCCATGCAAATACCAGTTCTGAACTGGGAGAAAATATAAAAGTTATGTACTAAAAAACTCCACCAACATGGTTTTTCAGTCACTGTTAGATTGATTTTATGACATTAAACTTTCACAAATATATCTGAATAGGTCAATGTTGCAGACTTGATGATACTGTATAATTTAGAGGGCATCTGGGACACTGGAAGGACTGAACTTCGTCTGACTGGGGTAGATGCCAGCTTTCATTAAGTGGGTAAAATGCTGATCCTCTTTATGCTTCATCCTGAAGTACAGGTAAAAGTCAGCAAAATCATTGGGATTCAGCAAAATCTTTGGGTGCTAAAACAATTAGACTTACAAATCCTATATGACCTTATATGACAGTTAGAGTCACGTGATGAAATCAAGCACAACAGAGGCAATCTTGCTAAGTGAGATGAGGAGGATTACTGCTGTAAATCATTGTTTATAAGTATTAAAGCTACTTTCTGTACAGATTGGAGAAGACTTCCAAGAGAGATGAAGCCAAGGAAAAAGATGAAGAAAGGTAGATAATGTATTTTAAAATATTTTAAAAGATTTCAAAAAAGGCATGCTAAAGCTGGTTACATGGACCTAATGAATAGGGATTTTGGTAGATTATTTTCTAAATAATTGAGTAGATTGCCTGGCTTTTAATAATTTGCTAGCTGCTAATATGTAATATTGGAAGATTAAAAATGCAAAAATCTTTTTGTTTTGCAGTCCATCTTCTATTTAAAGAATAGCAAGCTGTTCAAATTTTCTTCAAATTTTTGGTTTCTCAATTAAATTGTATATTATTTTGTTGACTTGTATTTTTTTAGGTCTTTTATATGTAATTTAATGTAGTTTATTTTCTATTTCTCTGGTTTTACTTTTTTTTTGTTTATTTTCTTCTGCAGAATTGTGAACCAGATCCTTCAACAGCAGTTGGAGCTGGTATTGGTTGCTCTTTAAGGAAAAGAAATCTTTTTATTGTACAGCATCAGACGTGTTTTCATTTTTAAGAGTGTTTTTGTTTTCCAGTATGCATGACTATTATTTTCAGTTCTCAGTAGAAGTCTGTTGCTTTGTTGATGTGAAACAACACTTGGCCTCCTGTATCTAGCTGTCTGTTACATACTATTGTTTACTTTATTGCTCTCTTTGTCCAAGTCCTTCATATGTCATTTTTCAGTTCAAGGATAAAATAGGAAAAGCAATGGGAATGTGCAGTAGTCATGGAGACTGGCTCAGCTGGAAGCTTTTGTCTTTTAAGAGTGTCATTGAGAAGCATGGGAATAAAGGTAGACAGCAAGATTCAATTTCAATTAACTACTTATTTGCAAAATCCCTCAAGAAGAAATGAGTGCATATCCATTTTCTTTTTTAAAAAAGAAGAAATTGCACTGGCTTTTGTAAGCCTGCAGGCAATAATAAACTCCCCAAGATTCTGTGCAAGCATAAATGCCAATCCAGTATCCCTTTGATATACCAACATTCTGATTATCACAAAGAATCATTGGTCAGTGCGTTCTTTATTTCCACCATCTTCTGTGCATGTTTCTCAATTTGCTCTTAAAAGTACATTTTCTTACATAATTGTAACAGCAAAGATCAGCTGCCCACCTTGATTTGATTGGGTTAAAAACCTGTTTCTCTAAAAGCAAAAATCGTGAGGTTTCAGGTTTTTTGAGGGGAATCTTGGTGACATGGAGATCATACAGAAGTCATGTTACTTTTTGTTTTGATGACACCCATGTTGGGTGACACTCCATAATCGAGTGGAACAAAGGTGAGGGAGTGAAGTGAATGTTATCTGCACTGATACACAGACAGGTTTCCTACAATTCTATCGTCAAAGATCACAGGAATGGTTTTTGGGTCATTACACTATATCTGCAGGCCTGCCTTCATTTTTGACCCCCTTTATGACTTCTCTGAGTGTTTCAACTTAACACCTGGCCACATCATTTACTGACATAACTTCAGGTAGGGTTTCTTATCTCCCACACTTAGGCTGGGCTGTGGACCACTATATCTGAAATATCAGCAATACCTCCAAAAAAAATAGCCCAAACCAAAATTTTTAAAAAAACACAAGCAGTAAGCCGACTGGCTTCAGCTCCTGTATGCACGTGTATACAGCAGTCAGATTTACTCATGGAAGACAAAGCACTGTAAGAACTGCAATTTAAAAGAAAATAGATTGTATTGCCTTGCTGTTCTGCTTAAAGTTCTACATTCAAATGGTGAGCCTGTGTCTGTAATATTACAGTTAGTTCCAGAGATTTCCACCATTTAGTGGAGGCTTTTGCATATCTTTTTTTCACTTCCAAGCTGTTTATAGACATTATCTGTAAAAGTTTGCAGGTGTTTGTGCAGAGGTGATCATTTTGAATCACACTTACCTAAAGGCCTCCTTGTTCTGGATGTATTTGCTTTGACAAATGTGTTCATACATTATTACAGAGCAGCTTGACTTCCCTCCGCTATGTGTGGTGCTTTTGTCATTTAAACTCTTCCTGGGCAAAATACTGAAGTGAACAGAGTGTTACGATTAATGCTTTTGAGAAAAGAGAATTATTATCATAGCAGCTGCTAGTGCTCCGTTTCCTTAGACATTGGACCAAATAAAATACATCCCACATTGGACTACCGTCTGCACTGGAAAAGCTATCTCCTCCTTGCATCCGCACATACAATTTTCTTTCTACGTGACTAGGTTTAGTGTACTGTGGTGTAAAAAAAAAAAAAAAAAGGGTGCTTGTTACATTAGTGCCTGGTCAGTAGCTTTCTGGTCATCAGAAGCTGTATAACTACTCCAGTGTGGAACTTACCCTGGCATTTTTACTCTGCAGAGAACAGCCATTACGTTGGGTACCACCCTAAGATGTAAGTTTTATGCAGGGCAGCATGGTACAGCAAGAGAGTGGAAGGACAGGTGTTGTCATGGAAGCAGGACATTTCTAGCTTTGCTGCAGTATTTCTCAGCCCAGTGCTCTTTGTTTCTGCTGGTCAAACTGCACTCCTGGAACTGAGACGGATGTTTCCCAAGCTTGGAGTGCTGCAATTCAGACAGCTCTGACCTGGTTACGGAGTCATACTTTCAACCTTTGCTCCATTATATAATGAAGTGGGATGGAATTGTAGGGAATAACTTGATAAAGGCTTTGTCCACGTAACAGTAATTTGTGGTCCAAAAGCCATTTAACTGCAGTAACCTCATTACCCCAGGGGAGGCTCACAAACACTTCTGTCTGCCTTTTTTTTTCACTTAAAAAGAAAAAATAATCCTTTCTCTCAAGTGCCCAGCTGTCATTATTTTGTACATACGTTTTATCTCCTCAGCTGATAAAAAGTGACAACATATCTGTGGAGCTTTTTCCTAAAATCTTTATTTATTGTGGGTAAGTGAAGAGATTTTTGTGAAGCTAAACGCTGTAGTTTGATCAAAGCTTCCATCAAATGTCTGTATAAAATGAATTTCAAGCTGGGCCTGTAGACATCACTTAGATAAATCAGGCCATTATTCCTCTGTGATTGATCTAGCTCAGAGCTGAAGTAATTTTAGTACAGAGAGTATGGGATTTTCATGGCAGTTACTACTCTTAAGATAGAAGCTCTTAAAAGTAAATAAAAGGATTCATTATTTTATATACAAGAAAAAATAATTGTTATGTACTTTATTTCAGCAGGTGCAAAACCAAAAAAGGCAAAGAATTCTGAGCCTAAAAGTAACGTGGATGTGTTGAAAAAAATTGAGGTAAGGTGTGCTTAATCTTAGAGAATTGTACAATACAAATTACTGAAGGGAAATTAATTTTCTGATACACGATACTATGATAAGTTTTTGGGATAACCACATCAGCCTTTCTGGCCTGGTCTTGTTACCTGAACCGACAAAAGTTCTGCAATATAGTATAGCACAAGGGGGAGGAGAAGGATAAAGCCTGGCAATGGAGAAACTGGTTTTGTTTGTCTGTTTGTTTGTTTTTTAATTCTATTTAAGGCCAAACACATCATTCAGTTGTTCTTCACAGTATAGCTGTGTGGCCTAATTGTGAAAAGTAGAGCTAACTGAAGGAGGAAATTGACCCAGAAAATTTAAATGGATGGTTTTTACAGCACTTTACTGCTTCTAATTGGAAATATACCCATTTGTAAGTTGAGAGCAAAGAAACAGAGAGGAGAATTTAGGAGGAAAGTTATTGTGATTTTGGTGCTGACTACCCACCAGATGGAAATGGAAAGCTGAAAGGTGAAATAGCCCCGTTTTTTTTTCTTGATGATGTATCGGCAGTTTGGTGCAGATCTTTTATAGTTCGTGGTTATATCTTACCAAGTATTATATGACTTTTACTGTGAATTGCTCCAAGGGTGGATGGTAAAGGGAATGAATCATCTCAGTTTATTACACAAGATTGGCTTTTTTTTAGAATTGAAATCGAATGACTTACAATCAATAAAAAAAGTTCTTATAATATTCTAGCATTTCACATCATGTTGTCCTTAGATGTTGACAAAAAATATTTGTACAGTATTGTCAGACTACTCATCCTACTGTTAACTGCAGCATAACACTTTGGTTGTGAGGAGGGTATATTGTTGCCATAATGTTAGATTATGCTGTAAATGAAAATGTCTTCTCACAGGAGTTGGAAAAGAAAGATGATGAAGAAGAAAAATCTGATGATGAGAAAGACAGAACAAAAGATAAACAAGGTGAAGATGATGAAGAAGCTGAAGAGCCAGAAGAATATGATGAAGAGGAACATGAAGAGGTGCTTTATTTATTTTTCTGTTTACATCAGATCAGATCACAGTCACTGAGCAGCATGTTGGCTCTCCCCAGCTTTTCTGAAGCAGAGGGAGAGCCACAGGGAAAGGCACTGTTCAATTAATTTTCCTTGTTGTAGTACACTGTGTTGTAGTTAGGCAAGTGTTTTAGATTTGTTACTCCCAAACAGCTCTGAAATAAAGAGCTGGCCAACAGGAAATGTGTCCTGCCACGATACATGAAACTACTTATTTTCACCATCAAAACAGGGCACAACATTTACATTTTAAAAGGTTGCTCTCCTTTCAGATATAACAAAAATTAATTTTAAGTTTTCATATTTTCTTTCACAAGAAACTTACGTTAACAGTTCAAAAATTCTGTGCCCAACTAGTTTAAAACATATTTCTTCTATAAATTGTCTCCTTCACAAGACTGATAATATAGTGATTATATGTTTATTTATAAATATAGTGATAGTATTTTGGTCTGCAATATGTTTTCATTTAGGAAAATGACTATATTTCTTCATACTTTGAAGATGGAGATGACTTTGGTGCTGGCAGTGATGACAATATGGATGAAGCAACATACTAGCTGTTGTTGCTAGGAGGTGTACTGTTCATGGAATAGAATCCTGGAGGTAGGCTGAGTATTACTGACAGAACTAATGCTTCAGATCTTTTGGGTTTAAGCTTACTCTCCGAAAACATATGGAACAATTTTTTGTAATGGTTTTTCGCTGTAAAATGGGATCCCAGATCCCACATTTTGTTCATTTGCTATGTTTTGCAGATATGCACTTTTTAAAGCTTCTCTGAGATGCCTACTGATGCCAATACATGGCCTCTGCACAGAAAAAGAATGTATCCATTTTTGTCGAATTGTGCCTAAGCATTTGCACTTGTCAGTTCTGTGCTTTAGCTGTGAAATTCCTCATAACTGGAGCAAAGCAAAAATAAAGCCGTTACGGATGAAAGCTGCCCATACTTAGCAGCTGACTTCTTTGAAGGAATTCGCATTAACTTCTGAATTCAGGGGACTGAAAATAATTGACCACTAAGCACTTTAATGTAAACTGACTTGAAAGAATTGTAGGAATACAGACTACCAAGGTAATAAGTATTTTGAAGAGGTACTGTTCTAGTCAGCAGAACTCTTACCTTTAGTATATTATTTAAAAGGAATGATAATATTTAACAATATGTTTACATTGCCTGTATGCATCAGTATAAGTGATTATTAGGGGTAATTTCATTTAGAAAGAATACATGACAGAATTTAAGATTGAGAAAGTATGCAATTGTGTTTTCAACAGTAGCATGCAGTTTGAAGGGATAAGAGTTTTACTAACTCCTCAGTTTTTCTGCCTGTTACGGCAATATTAACTTTCCTACCTCGCAGAGCTGTTAAGTGAGATAGCAGATTATATCCATGTAACGAGGCATTTACTTACTTTTCTACAAAACAAACAAAATATACAGAATGAAAACTAATAAAAAAGCACATACATTTCTCATGCAAGAGAAATATGTTGTAAAGCATGTTGATTGTGAAAAATTAGGAAAACATGAGTGCTCAGAATAGGAAAACTACAATGTTTAGAAACTTTTTAAAGAACCAACAGCCAAAATGTAAAAAATTTATTCCTGAGTTTAGAAGCTAGAGGAACACAGTGACAGAGCAGTCTCTGTGTCCCTTTGTCCTTTGACTATATAAAATATTTATCAATGTTATAATTTATCAGTTTTGTTGTAACATGAATGTGCTGTTCCTTCTAACAGGTTCTGTTGGCAGGACTAATGAAAATAAAATGTTTTAAGAGCAAGCCAATTCTTTTGTCAGTTTTCTTTGGAAGTGTGGCATTTTGTCAAGCAGCGCTTTACTTCACTGCTGACTAGAAAGTCATACTGCATTATTCTGTGGACTCCTCCATGCAATAAGATGGGGCATTCTGCTAAATTATGTATCAGTTCTAAAGGAAATTAAAATGCAATGTATGTCACACTTCAGAGGTAAACTAATTGCATTTTGAAGAACATTCAATAAACAGTCTGCTAAATTATATAGGAAATGTATTCTGTTCATTTTCTTTTGGCAACATACATACTAGCAGTTGTTTCTTCAACAGATGTGCCCATTTCATCTGTGTGGTACATAACAGAAGGCACTGTAAACAAGGCAACCATGTTGAAAGGCAAACAATGACAGAATCCCTGCAACTTGCATAAGGAAAACAAATAGAGTGCTTTTGCCAAGGGCAAAAGAACCAGAGGGTAAACACTGGAAAAGCAATACTACATGTGTTATAATTTGGCCACTGCTGTGGCTAGCTTGAGCACATGACTCTTCTTTGGAACAGGGGACTTTCTTCATTCATCACCTTTAAAAGGTTAACTATGGTCACATCTGTTCTACACAGAAGCAATCACCGTGTCTCAGGACAGATCTTCTAGACTAGTTTAACAATGGTAGATAAGGTCAGAGCTTAAGAACAGCCTGTGCCCTGTGTTAAGTAGCTTCTGAAATGGAATGAGGTTGTATTGTTTCAGAGCCGTAATGCTCACAGCTGTTCTTGTAAGTTGATATTTCTAATTGCTTGGGATTTATTCCAAGACCATGATGTTTATAAAATGTAGACTGTTTGCTGGGTCTCAACAAATGTCAGACTTGGATAGATCTAGCTGAGGCTGGAGTTGAAGGACAGCTAAGCAAGTGTGTGTGTGCTTACCTTCTTTCTGGGGTTAAGCTAGGACACTAACTTAATTTTTCATTCCTATTTCTCAATACTGTTTTCACAGAACTAACAAGTTCTAACAAGAACTTTATACAGAAAAGTTCCAATTTAAACAAGGCAGGCACAGGACAAACCTTTAACCTACCAGTTATGGTATTCTAGACATGAATGCTATATGCAGCTCTGCCAACAAATACTTGTTGGCCAAGGAATATTTTAGATTACATGCAAAATTAGCCAAAACAAATACAAGTAGAGGCTTTTTTATAATACATGCAAAATACAGTTAAGAATACATTATAAGCACTACTTTCACTGCAATCTAAAAAAGAACTTTTATTTATGTTCTTCTAAAACCAGAGGTGTGGAAGTATCTTAAATAAGACTTGCATCCTCATCCAGGATTATTTTACAAATACAAAAATTATCTGTGACAATATATTCCAAAATACAGGTTTAAAGCATTTAAAATTTTATATGATCCAACAGTGCAATATGCACTTAAATTTCAAACCTACTTCCTGACCAACTCTGTGTTGTAGTTAATCCATAATGTGATTTACCATGCAGTTTGTTTTGATATTATAAAGTCTAAAAGACTAGCCAGATTTTAATTTCATACTGAGGAGTTACTCACTTTATTTGGAATATGATGCACTGCCATTCATGTGGTACTTGGAAAAAGACTTGGGGAAAAAGTAAAAATACCTGCACCTTGCAAATAGCAAAACCAGCTGTTGTTCGTACTTAAGTCCAACATAAATTCTCCTCCCAACATTATATTTTCTGATAACAGTAACATTCTGATTTAAAAACATGCTAATAAAATACGCTACATAACAGTAAAAACATGGCAGACTCTTGGTCAGAGTATACTATTGTTTAACAAAACTGCTTTCCCTTTTTTTCTTTTTTTAAACTGCTTACCATGCCACTTTCAACAACTCAGTGACAGTAATGCACAGAACACTCTAGAAGTCCAAAGCCTGGGATCCACCAAAGAGCTACTCAACTCCAACACCACAGGAAAAAAACCAACAGTTAACAGTTAGCTAAGTGAAACGGCAGTGGAAATTAAGGCCACTTTGAATGTGATGGCAGTTTAGTACTTGCCTGTTAAGGTACATGTGGTAAATCAGGCTTAATGTTACATGATCCCAGTAGCTAACGTTTCTTATGAAATTAAAGAAATAAAAATGCTGAGGTTTCAAAAAGTATGATGAGGAAAAACAGCAAATAAGCTTCAACTAAAAAAACAAATTAGGCAGCAGTTCCCAGCCCCAGGAGGAACATGGCTCATTTGTTTTAACGTGCCAAAACTGTTATCTGGACAAGTGCAAGTCACCTATTTTTAAGTTCACTTGCTTGTAATGTTTTAACCACAGAAGCTGCATCACATTAGCCACCACAAATTATTTCACAATACAAATTTTTGTAAACCTTACCCAGAACTGGTACTTGAACATTCATACTTGTGTTATTAGCGTATGGTTTTCAAGAGAAGAAAATTATTTAACAAGATTTTTGAAAACCATGTGTTACGTGAAACATGAAGCCCACACTGACTTGAATTCCTCTCCTTCTGTGGAAACTATGAGCAGCCACACTGTCACCAGATATACTACTTTCACTGAAGTGCTCAACAGCCACTTGTTCACAGGTTGAATTATACGATGCTTTCCTTCATGCTTTATGCTACACTTTCAATAAAATTTAAGTAATGCCTCCTATTTTACATTAGCCCATGATGTCAGAGGAGGATGCTGGTGATATAGCAGTAAAGGTTGAACCTTCCTATCAATACTGTTACATTTGGTCACTGTGTGACTGATGGTAGCAGAGAGGCAAAATAACTGGCACCCATTGATGCATGCTGAACATTTACGGAGACCAAACAGTGGTTATGAGCACAGTGAGGTGGTGAGTCAAGTGTTTCAGCAGCAGCAACAACAATGTGAAAGACCACATTCTGGGCAGCCATGCACAGCTGACACACTGTGAAATGAAAGGTGTCTACTCTGCTCACCTATGCAGATCAGTTAATAGCAGTAAATATGTTGAAAAACAGTGTTTTGTAGCTGAAAATTCACTTTATCAAGCAGTGTTATTACGCTCTTTGTAAGCAGTACAGTTTCCACCAAAATAAGTAGGAGGCATTACTTTCACAGCAACCTACACACATTAATCCAATTTATGTTCATACACTCAGAACACGGTGAATAATACTTGCCCCACTTTTGGGGGGGCAACAGATAGTGGCACAAGTCAAAACTCTCTCAACTCTCAAAATTCAAAAAAATAACTGCTTTGTCAGATTTTTTCATACTATATATACAGTCAAGACAATCACAGGAGAGTTTATGATAGAGTTTAAATTGAAGTTAGTGATATTTTTTCCATTTCTCTCCTTTTTAGTCAGACTAAAGTCAGTTAACTTCACCTTTGGTAACATTACTTCAGACAGGACCAGAGACATTTTACTTCATAAGGCAAATATAACAAAAGATTACAGGAACACATCAGTTTTTATTTAAAAATGTTCAGAATACACAAGAACCTCTTTTTTTTTTTTTTTTTTCCCTGTATGAGAAGTCCTGTTCTTTTTTGCTTGTTTTCCTCCTGCAGCATTTTCAGGCAGAGAAGAAAATAAGGTAGAAAATAAGTTTGTCATGAAACCAAATGAAACATTCAAGAAAAGAGTGGTTGAAGAATACCAACTAGAGAACAGTGTGAAGCTGCAACTGGTCTATTCTGCTGCAGTGTCAGTTTCTTGCTAGCAGCCACTGAATCTCATCTGAAATTTTGTAGATTTCAGGAAAAAGTTGTTATTCCAGATTCATGGGCAAGTGAACATTAGCACATTCAGAACCCAATGGTAACCACTGTCTGAAGAATCAGTTGCTTTTACACTGAGATCAAATGGAGGAAGAAAAAGTCATTACCATAAAGATTAATGAAGCAATCACATCAAAGTGTCACACATCTCCACTTATTTCATTTCATATACAGCTGACCATAACAGAAGTGCAGTCCAGTCAAGTCAACTGAAGGATACCACGGGGAGGTATGTGAAGTTCTAAAGAAAAGATCCAACTGCTGAAGAACATACGACATACGTAGCAACATGTATGATATCAACAGGAACCAAGCTACCCTTCTATCTACACTGAAAATACTGAACAGATTGATCACAGGCACAAATTTTGAATATTCCACCTTAAGCATTAGCTACTGCCTCTATGAAAGACTTCTAACAAAAAGTGGACTTCATAGTGGCAATTAATTATAGAATGATTGAGTTTTAAGAATTCTATAAGAAAAATAAAATTTTAAGAACATAAGTCTTAACTGGCAACTGTAAACTTGATATTAAAATGTCAAGTGTACTATGCATTCTATAAATATTTTAAAAGATAGATATCCCCAAATGCCCACTTCAGGGCTGTAAAATGTGCAGTGAAATTCCTTATGTGTCAGCTCAAACTACCTTCTTTTACTCTGTCATTAATTAGAAAACATACACCTATCAAAACAGAAAAAAGTGCAAAGCTTTGAAGACAATTCTGTATCTTAATTTATATCCTGATCTTGCACCAAAATCTCCTGCTTGAAGCATATTACAGGATTATATCACCCACTGAAATATCCTCATACTGGAACACTGCCCATAAAGTTAAATCATACATCATTAAGTATTTTCCCTGCATTCCAGATGCATTTTGCATTGTGGTTTCATCTAATGCTATGCTATGTGTCTATGAATAACATTTGCCTGGGGTTTTCGGTTGTAAGGCTGGAAGTCTCCTTGACCATCAACATTCATACTACTTGCTGGATTTCTTCCATTTTCTATTTGTTTCTGATGTGATGCTGCTGTGACAAAGGAGTGGGCAGATTCCATTGTAGAATGGTGACTGACATCTGCTTTCACCAAAACTTCATAATACAAAAGATAAAAAACGGGAGTTATTATGCCAATAATCAACATAATAACTACAGCTGTCCACCACCCTATCCCCCAGTCTGCTCCATAGTACGGATCCTTGCATTTTTTACTTCTACCATCAGTTTCAAAACAGACCTGTTGGGCT